ATCATGTGTGGGAGTTTCCAATGTCACTTCCTTAAATTAGGATAAATGTGATGGCGAGCCACACATGTTAAAATCCACAGCTCACCATTAGTTGTTTCACTTTAGTTTACTTTGCAGTCGCTGCTTAATACAGTTTAACTATTAAATGTGTGTGTGCACCACACCTTACAGTGTTCACACGGTGCACACACACATTAGCTCTTTTGTGTTGTATTGGTTCAGCTTTCTGTGTTTACCTCGGGCTTCGGCTTCTCCTTCCTGGTTGGCAAACGTGTGGTTTTGGCCTGAAGTGCTGCTGACAGCCTCTTTGGACTGAACCACATGCTTCGCTGCCTCGGGGGTGTTTGGTTATATCGCAGCCATTTTTATTCCTCCTTGTGTGTCATTTGGTTTTGCTAAGCCAGTATTTAAGTTCCCTCATGTGTCAGCAGGTCAGTCGTGTTTGTTTGAGGTTTTCTTAGATGTTATCTTGAGTTTAGTTTATTGAGTCGACCTCTTTGCCAGTTTAAGTTTTTGGCTTCGTTAATAATCTTTCATATTTTTGTATGAAACACCTGTGTACTCCGTACTGTTCGGATCCTGACAATTAAGAAGTCATTTTGTCCATAATTATTAGACACAACGACACATTTTGCATTTACGTGAGCAGTGTTTTAGTCCTGCGTATCACCTCCACATATCAAATCGAGGCGATGACTGTTTTGAATTGACTCTATAAAAATAAACGGAGCCAAATCCTTAATTTGCCCTATGAAGGGGTTTGTAGCCAAATGCATGCAGACTCGTGCTGTTCCCATGAGCTGTATTTTGTGTTTTCTACATCATCAAATGCTCTGAAGCCACCAAAAAAGTTGATGATTGTATTAGTGGTGTGGGCATTTCAAAGATTTCTATTTTTATGATTATTTTCTGTGAAGGTTCTCAGTCATCCAGCTCATCGTAGTCAAAGGAGCTTGCAAAGAAAAGCGTCTGGACTTCTTTAAGTAGCTTGAAGATGTTTCACCTTCATCCGAGAAGCTTCTTCAGTTCTAAGGTCAAATGGTGGCGAGTCCCAGATATAAACCTAGTGGGAGTTTCCCCCCACAGACATTTTTATGATTGTTATGATTTTTTTTAGTCCAGATTTGTCTAGTTGGAGAAGAGGAAAATCTCTTCTTCAGTAATGTTGTTTACACTGACGCACCGTGGTTGGGTTTAGTTTTCCTCTTATGGCAGTCTCGCAAATGAAGCTGCTGCGCAGGTTTAAAGCTAAAACCTGATGCAGGCTGTTGTGTTTTTGCAGCGACCTGCAGAGGTTTGGTGTTAAACTGTCTCTGTTCATTGGATGGCTGAAACAAATATATTGTAAATATAAATATATATATTCTTCTCGACAGTGGCAGAAGTGGAATTATCAGAAACACTGCATAATAACACAACTAAAAATGACACTTTTCTTAGCTTTGCAACCTTACAAAACATTACCCAGAAACTTACGAACAGCACATTAATGGTAACTGTACACTTTCAAAACACTTCTTCTCTAATTCCAAGAAAATGAAAGTAGAGAAAAAGGAAATGAAGAATAAAGTTTCACAGGGTAAGAATGTCCTTAAAAGAAAGAACGAATCTCATTCTTGTAACTGGGTGATGCTTTACCACTTAGACTAGGGCTCTAGACTAACTTTTTGCTACGGTTGCACTGGTGCACCCAAATCTTTCAACCACATCGCTTAACACCGCAGTTTTACATGTCCACTTTTCTGTGGGGAGAATTGCTGTCCATAAAGACAATATGGATGTGTAAATGATTAACTAACAATCTTGTGCTTGTGCTTAAAGTGCTTTGGCACTCTTTGGTAATATTGTGGGTAATGTTAAACTTAATCGTCACATCGGCCTCTGACAACCTGCTTGCTGCTGCCTGCCGCTGAAAGGCAGGGGTAGAGGGAACACTTGGGCATTTATCACTGCATACAATATGTTTCCTGGATACACTGCTGCTTTTTCAGCGTTCAGAGGTTGATGGCTCCACGTCAGAGCTGGCTATGAATTTCAGATGGATCAGGCCTTAACTTAACAATATAGTTATCAATTGTTCTTTTAATCTTTTCTCATCACCCACAGCTACAT